AAAAAAAAAAAAAAAAAAAAAAAAAAAAAGAAAAGAAAAGAAAAGAAAAAAGAAAGACACTTCAAATAATCAAATGCTAAAACTGATTGCTTTGATAATAGTTGCATAAACCAAACACTAATTGACGAGTCTTTTTGTTTCCTATCAAAAGTAATATCAAGATGCCTTTCGCAAGTCCTATTTCCTTCTGTCATTTAATTTATTTACTTCTATAATATATATTTCTTTTTATTCACATTGGGTAAGAAAGCATCAAGAAGTGGTAAACATGAATTTCAGCGAGCTATGATTGTATCTAGATTGTTTGCTCATAACAACTAGAGGGATATTAAAGGTGCTTTGGAAGATCATTTTGAAGTCTCTGTTTTGTTTAATTCTTTCATGGCTGACAAGACTTTACTCAAACTTGATGATGGTAACTCTCCATTGGTTTTAAATCCCGCCGGAAATTGGAAGCTCTGTTGTGATTTTCATTTGCTTATCAAGAAGTGGTCTAGAGATAAGCACGCTCATCTGAATTTCATTGAAAGGTATGGTGGGTGGATCAGAATCAAGAACTTACCTCAACTTATTGGGAACACAATATCTTTGATGCTGTTAAAAATTACTAACACTTAGTATATTGGATTTTACTAAGAGGGACATGGAAGTCAAAAGGCATTTGTGTGAGTTTTTCCTGACTGCTACTGGAATTAATGATAGGAACAGAGGAAATGTGTTTCTTAGATTAGGAGGTGCATTTTTTGATGTCCCAGGGAATGGAGTTTGTATGAGTCTCAATTTTTAGTCATAAAACTTTGAATAAGCTTAAGTGATATTGTAGTTTACCTCAGTGATGCTCAGGGTAACAAAATGGCCAAGGTACTCGGAGGTAGTAGGAACCCGAGATGAAGAGATAATTTTAGTGATAACTACATCATTCCCAATAGTTGGCAACATATTAAACGTTTCATTTCGAGCTTTAGGGCCATTTAAAGACATGGAGTTTCTGAGATATTCAGAAATGGATTTGTACATTCCTCAGATATGGAAGCTTGCTGATCTGTTGACTGAAATAGGGAGTTGAAGGCATTTGCATAAAAATCTTCGAACTATTAGATCATCCAATGTATAGTATAGTAATCGGGCTGAATATCTAATTCAAATTGACATCTGACTCATCATCTGAATCATCGAAAGGAACTGCATTGGAAGATGAATGATCATTCGATGACTTTAAAATATCATGAGAAAATTTGGAACTACCTAGACCATTGTCGTATTCAATCAATACTGATGGGGTATTTTTCTTCAATCTTCTTCCTGGGATAACCTCCTGCTTTTCTAAATGAATCAAAGGGATTGAAGATATTTTCAAAGAACATTTGGTCCGAAGGTACAATATCTTCATTGAATGTGAATGAGATGGGTCTGCAGAATACAAAGGGATTGAAGATTTTTTCCCTGCATAGAATTTTGAATAGGTTACATTAAAACAATCATTTACTTTCTTATTGCTCAAAATTTCTAAAGATTCAAAGACAGTAGGTACTCATCAGTTTGTGCATTGTTTGATAGACTTCCTCATTTTATGCCTTCGTTACATGGGAAGATTGGAGGATTGGTCAGGTTGATCTATTAAAAGTGGGCCCACAGGAATTTCCTCAAGAGGCGCGAGTAAAGGCTCCAAGGGATTCGATAAAGAGCAATTGAACGTATCCTTCTCATTTAGACCTTGATTATAAAATGCAACATCCCCCCGACTCATTTAAGACTATCTTCTAACTCATTGAAGGCAGCCTTCACATGAAGATCACTATCATTAAATGCAACATTCCCTGACTCATTTAAAACCGCATTTTCTGATCCAACTAACCTATGAACTGGTGAGTGTAAAATTTCTTCCTTGGTCATGGTGGTGACGGCTTTATCTTCCATAAATTGCTCTATCCTATTTAAATCCAATGAATTTGAAAAGTCATTTAAAGATAATTCACGGTTGATGATATTAGGAGATTCTAAAGAAGAAGCATCCGAAGGGAAATGCTTCCTTTTTTTCATATCCTTGATCACAATGGTTGCATGAAAGAAAACCACTTAGGGTTTTCTTAACTTCAATACAAGCTCGTTGAAATCAATCAAATTTAGAATATTAGAAGAAATGCGAATAAGGCCCCTGAAATACTCTCCAATTGCTTCAATCGTACTTCGTCTCCAGTTTATTCAAGGTAAGTTGTTGATAGAAATCCAACCTCCATACCCTTCAATAAGCTCCGGATGAGAGTGCTTCTTTTGTGACAGTTTTTCAATTTTCAATAGCAAGTTTCCATAAAATCTCCATTTTCCATCACTAATGTTTACTAATGTTTCCTTGGTTTCCTTCCATTTATTATGAACAAGCAATTTGGAGACAACAAAACGCTCACCGAAATTTTATGTATCACTTCTTTTGCTTCTCTCACCCAAAATGATGGTTCAATCAAGTTGTCAATACAAGAAATCCCTGCAAGCTGATTACTCTTTGGATTATTCCTCTGTTTCATCTCCACAAAGTGGTTATTCTTCAGATTATTCCTCTAATTTGACTTCACAACCTCTGCAGATCTTCTGGTAAATGACTTTTCATTGATCTCTATCTTCATATAATGATCTTCGGGCATTGCCATATTAGGTAGTTGCATTGCGGGCTCACTGTTTTTACTCATGTATCTTTAGGAAATCCCATAGCAATTCCCAGAAAATGACCCATCCATGTTTGGCAAAACCAGCAGACCTTGAGCAATTTCCTTCCTCTTGAAGGTGGCCAAACCACACATCCAATGTGCTAACCTTGGCTTTTCAGATTATTGCTAATGGAAAACCAAGAGGAGATTTATCTAGTTGTTATTCACGTCTTTTACAAAACACATTTTATCTTCAGACTAAATGAAAAAAACGTGTTATGAACACAACTCCTTACCTCCATAATTCAAAATCAACCTAATTATCATGGAGGAAGGTGATTATGAGTATTCATGGAAGATTTTCTTTAGAATCGCTTAAGGATGGTCGTCATGCTTCAAGCCTTAGAAGTCCTTGGTCTAATGTTTCTAAGATCTAGAAAAAGGTTGAATCTTATGTCTCTTTTAAACTTGGAAAAGGTAATCAAATCTTTTTTTGGCAGGACAAAGAGACTGGAGGTATTTCTTTGCAGCATTTTCTTCCTCAATTTTTTGTTCTCTCTTCACCTCCTGATGGTTCTGTTTTTTTAGTTTTGGGATTCTATTCATCTTTCTTGATCTTTAATCTTTCAAAGGTTACTGAAAGACGATGTGATATTGGCTTTTCAATCGTTATTGGGTCCCCTGGATACTTCAATGGTAGATTCTTCTGAGGATTCAAGATCATGGTTATTAGAGCTCTCTGGCTCTTTCTCGGTGAAGTATATCGAGAGAATTAGCTTATGCTACTCCTTTACAGCCAAACCTATTCAAAATAATATGGAAATCTCGTAGTCCAAAGCGTATTAATATTCTGTTGTGGACCATTCCTTTGTAGCAATCACTATTGATTGCCCAGGATGTCCTTGCTCTATATTCTGTTGTGGACCATTCCTTTGTAGCAATCACTATTGATTGCCTAGGATGTATCACCTTTATATTCTCTAAACTTCTCTGGGTATGTGTCACTTTCATACACAACGGTCATGCATATATCACTTTCATGCATATAGGACCCCAAAAAAGTATTGAAGAGGTGAGAAAATGTATAATGATCGCTCACAGGCATGAGATACCACATATATAAAACATTAGTTCTTAAACATGATGCAACATAGAGATTATTTCGTACATAAACGTTCTCATCAAATTTAGCTAGTATCCATAACATCAATCACATCATGACTTGTCATTTCAGGAAAATACATAGTTTAGCATACATCAATCAATCATCTGACCTAGCCTTAAAGCGGTTTAGCATACATCAATCAATCATCTGACCTAGCCTTAAAGCATTCCAAAAGGAAAATCACATTGGCTACACAACCAAAAACAAAAGAGAGGAATATTCCCTATTATGAAGATGTTTTGCCCAACCTAAAAGAAAATTTCGTAGGTAAATCAATAGCTCAAGGATATGAATATTAGACTTAAATCTTGAAAGCTACCATTTACCCAATTGGTTCTTTTCTCAAAGTCGCCCTTAAACCGTATTCAAACAGTCTAAATCTATTCCAACACTACAACAAAAGATGCTGATTGCCACGACTGGCTGTCTACGTGTGGGACGTGTGGGTTGATGCTGATGCCTATTCATTGGAGAAGAAAACGATCCCCCCGAGAGGGGGAAAAGAGATGGAGATAGAAAGAGCCTTTCTAATTTTTGTTTATGACGTCCTAAATGGCTCTTTTTCCTTTCCCATTATTTTTCCTTTTCTACAATCTAGTTAAAAAATTCTAATTAACCCCAAATGAACTTCAAATATAAGAAAAAATCTTTGGGAATACACTTGGGCTCTTAAAATTGAAATACAAAAATTCAATGGATGATTAAATCCTCAAAGTTATGAATTTGAGACGATTAAAAAAAATCTCTCATTCAGAAATTAAATAAATTGATTGTCTCAACTTAACCCACTAAATTTAACTTAACCAAATTAGATCCCAAGAATTCCAATATATCCAATCGAATTCAAACTAATAACCTAAAGATTAAAATAATCTTATCCAAAAATGTAGGCATTACGGATCATGTTTCTTATAATATCTTTATCTTCAATATTAAATCTTGATGTATTTTCTAAAATAATTATACGACCTTGGAGGTTAATGAGTTCTGTAAACGTTGCAGCTTATGGATCTGAGAGATAGTAAGGAGGCTGTTTATGGTGCTCTTGATGCCTGGGTTGCATGGGAACAAGACTTTCCAATAGCATCCCTTAAGCATGCATTGGCTGTCCTTGAGAAAGAAAACCAGTGGCATAGAGTTGTACAGGTATGAGTTGTACCAGCCATTCTTTATCTACTCTCTTTTCCTTTTACCCACTCTTCCCACTTTCATGTTGAATGGAAATTAGTCTTCTCACTAGCCAAAAGGTGTGAAGGACATTAAATTTTTGGGGCAGGTATGTGAGCATGCAATTAGATGCAAATCCACAATATTACTGCTATATTCCCTTCTCGTGTAAACTGCAGAATTTTAGAGCATTGGCTGTGTGATGCAGTATATAATGGGCTATTTTACCAATTCTGTTTTGTGTAAAGTAAAATCTAAGAGGATGCACAAATAAACCCTAGTTTAAGGAAGAGTAAATAGCAAAGACAGTAAGTAGTGGGCTTTGAATGGCTAAGAATCTGTAAGTTACACTATTTAACACTAATATACAGCCTAAGAAGCACCAACACTCCCATTTAGGTAATGCATTTGCTTCGAACACTCCGATACTTGTTGGACACAGACAGTTACCTTGTAACATATTAAGTGATAATTTTTGTACAAAATGAATTAGTCCGATAATTTTTGTTTTTTGTTTTTTTGATAAGAAACAATTTCACTGGTTAATGAAATTTACAAAAAGAATAGATAATCCATGAGGATTACAAAAAGCTTTTCCAATTGGTCAATAGGGAATTGTAACTAGGGAGCCAGCAAAGTGATTATACACTTTACACCAAGACATAGAATAATAAATGAAGAGATCGAAGAACACTTCAAATGGATGAATGTTCTTTATTTAGAAAAATCCTTTGGTTTCTCTCCTTCCATAGAACCCCAAGGGAAGCCTTGTTTATGTGCATCCACAGTAGAGCTCTTGCTTTTTTAAAGGGGTCACGCAACATAACATTGGTGAGAATATCCTTTGCATCTTTAGGAATTGTCATATACCATCCAAAAGCCTTGAGAATTCTGTTCCAAAATTTCAAAGCAAAAGGGCAGTGTATGAATAAATGGTTCTGTGTTTCATCTTGGCCTTGCCTAAAGGATACCAGCTTGGGGAAGTTTCCAAGTATGGCATTCCCGTTTGGAGGTTGTCTTTGGTAGTGATGGTTCTGTGAGATAATTCCCATAGGAAAATTTTGGGTAACTATCGTCTAGATAATTCTAGCCAATGCCGTCTCCAAAAGGTGAGTTGATTATCCTATATTTAATAACAAAGATCTTGTGCATAAGGGACCATTTGGATTAGGTAACCATCTCTATGAATCCTCCCTCTTTGAGAGAACAATAGGTGCAAGGTCAGGACTGAGAGAAGACTGAGATCAGCCACTCTCAGGCTTCCTCGTCCTTCTAATTTCTGCCAAGTTGCAAGTCCCAGAAGCTGTTATCAGTGTTCCATACCCATAACAATCCAAGTCCACTGCTAGCAGATTTGTCCTCTTTGGGCTTTCCTTTTTGGGCTTACCCATACGATTTTTAAAAGGCGTCTGCTTGGGAGAGGATTCCACACCCTTATAAAGGATGTTTCGTTCTCCTCCCCAACCGACGTGGGATCTTACAATCCACCCCCCCTTCAGGGTCCAGCGTCCTCGCTAGCACTCCTTCCTTTCTCCAATCATGTGGGACTCCCACCAAATCCACCCCCCTTTCAGGGCCCAGCGTCCTTACTGGCACACCATCTCGTGTTTACTCCCCTTTGGGGAACAACCTCTGATTTGATAAGGAAATCACTACAAGGGGAGTAAGATTCGGATTACCTTGTTGATCGAATATCTCAAGACAAGAACATTGTTTGAGATTCAAATCACTCCACAAGCAAGATCGATCATGTCTAGCTTGAATGATTCTTGTTGATCAAATATCTCAAATACTTGTTTGAGATTCGAATCACTCCACAAGCAAGATTGAACATGTCGAGCTTGAATGATTCTACATGCAACCTAAACTACATAGAATTGCCAAGAAACTTAGCCATTGGCTAAAGAAAAGCACAAATGCTTCTTTTAATATATTTTCCAAGTCTACCTACAAATACAACATACAAGGCTTTATATAGCCTAAAAAATGAAACTATTAAAGGCGTGTAACATTCATACTTAATGACCATAATTAGCCATTGTGTAAATGTAACCTAAAGTAAATAAAATGTCTTAAAATACAATAACTCTAAATTGTAACCCACCCAAAATTTACAACAATCAAACTTTATTCTTCTTCAATGTAGCATGAATTGAAACATCTTTTGATAATTTTGACAACCTTTTCTTTACATCTTCATTGAAGTATATTGTATGATTGATGTCTCTTGGTTCATATCACTCCTCGCTAGCACATCACCTGGTGTCTGGTTCTGATACCATTTGTAATAGCCCAAACCTACTGCTAGCAGATATTGTCCTCTTTGGGCTTTCCCTTTCGGGCTTACCCTCAAGTTTTTTAAAACGTGTCTGTTAGGGAGAGGTTTCCACACCCTTATAAAGAGTGTTTCGTTCTCCTCCCCAACCGATGTGGGATCTTACAATACCTCTCTAATGGTAGCCTTTTTGCAATGAGGAATTCTGTAAAGTTGGGGGGTAATGAAGGCCATTGAAGTGTTTCCACCCAAGGATCAGTCCAGAAAAGTGTTGTGGCTCCACCACCCACTTGGTAGCATATTCCGATGGTGATAAGATCTTGGTGCTTGATATTGAACATCCATTGGTAGAGAAGATACATACCTACGTAATGTTGTTTACCAAGCTATATCTTGGTGTAAACTGTCTAATATTTTTACTTTCTATAGTTATACCACCCTCATTGTAAATAGGGAAGGTCTTTTGTTAACCCTACGGATTATACATCCCTTTTGTGAGTTTCAATCATCAATGAAATTATCTCTTAAAAAAAAAAAAACTTCCAAGGACTTCCTTGGTTATCTTGACTGGAAAGGAATGGGCGTCTCTACAAAAAAAGACCTATGTTTTTCAAATCTTTTTTTGATAATTTATTTTTTACTGCCCTCTCTTGGTGTAAACTCTCCCCACTCTTCAAAAATCATAGTCTCACATCGGTTGTTCAAAATGTTTTTTTGAATTTCCATGGCTCACTGCCCTTTTGTAATTTTATTTCACAGTCCATGAAATGATTACCTCACTGTTTCTCACAAAAAAAAAAAAAGCTTATTGATGTAAATGCATAAATTTATTGATTTTAAATTCTCTGAATTCGTGGTTTCGTGTTTGTATCTTTGCTTCTTAGTATCCAACTCATAACATTTCTAAAGAATATATGTGAATCATGTTGAGTTTCTTGTTAGAACAATAGTCAAGTCCAACGGTACCTAGCTTGTTACTATTGAATTTAGACAATGAAATGGGTATATGTATAGGTTATAGAAACAAATGCTGTTAGATTCATGCAGATGTCTTGCAGGTAATCAAATGGATGTTAAGCAAGGGGCAAGGAACCACAATGAATGTCTATGGGCAGTTAATACGGGCTTTAGACATGGACCATCGAGCGGAAGAAGCACATAAGTTTTGGGTCATGAAAATTGGTTCGGATCTACATTCAGTTCCTTGGCAATTGTGCAGAAGCATGATATCAATATACTACCGAAACAAAATGCTAGAAGATCTTGTGAAGGTATAATTCTCTCTTTCATTTAGTTAATGTAATGCTAGTGCCTTCTGGAAATGGCTTTTTGTTTGGAATATTGTTTTTTTCTTTTCCCCATTTTCCCATTAAAGTATTTTGATGATTCTCTTCTTTTGGGTTTGTACCTAGAGTATACTTCTATACTTGATTTTGATATCTCCACATAGCCCACGTGATTAGAGCATATCAAGTGTAACGATTCAGGTTCACCGCTAGTAGATATTGTCTTCTTTGGGCTTTTCCTTTCGGGCTTCCCCCTAATGTTTTTAAAACGCGTCTGCTAGAGAGAGGTTCTACACCCTTATAAAGGGTGTTTCGTTCTCTTCCCCAACCGATGTGGGATCTCACAATCCACCCCCCTTCAGGGCCCAGCGTCCTCGTTGGCACTCGTTCCTTTCTCCAATCGAGGTGGGACCCCACCAAATCCATCCCCCTTCGGGGCCTAGTGTCCTTACTGCACACTGCCTCGTGTCTACCGGAGAGGTTTCCACACCTTATAAAGGGTGTTTTGTTCTCCCCAACATCAAGTTTATGTTTCTTTTTACTAGGCTCAGATATTTTGTTGGCCTTCTCAAACAAAACCTTAGTTTTGTTGTTAAGATCTGAACTAGAGTTCCCTTTCTCAAGTGGTGAATGCTAAATGATTATCATATATTCCTATGGCCAGCTGGATAAAAGCATTAAGAACATCGTAATGTAGATCAAATTTGGAAATAAACAAAGGGCCTTAATAGCATACGAGCATAACAATCTAATGGCTTGGCTACACTACATGGTTCCTCTGGTTGAGAGACATTTTGATCCCTTTTAATTATTTTTAGCTCCCCTTGTCCTCTTTTTGATGTTATTAAAGTTTTTGAATTGGCATCTGGTTTGAATATTAATTATGGCAAGAGTGAACTGTTGGGGATAAACATAAGTCATAACACCTGTGGCAAGAACAATGGATAGAATTCTTTAAGATTTTCTTTGGAAAGGCTCGGAAGGTGATGCTGGTTGGCCTAATGTCAATTGGGAGCAGATTCAACTTCCCAAACTCTTGGACGGCCTTTGTGTTGGAGATCCTTTTAGTAATCCTTTGTACTGGGTTCACTTATCAATGAAATTTGTTACACAGATTGATAATATTTATATATATTGATGCAAAATAGTCGATGTGTCGATGAATTTTAAATTTTTGCGGGTCGGATTGCGTTATCCCCGAGTCTCTGTTATGCTAACCTTGCCTTTTGCCTTGTGTAATGTAAAGCTTTTTAAGAATCTTGAAGCTTTTGGGCGTAAACCTCCAGAAAAATCAATAGTGCAAAGGGTAGCAGATGCTTGTGAGATGCTGGGCTTGGTTGAAGAGAAAGAGAGGGTGCTAGTGAAGTATAATTACCTTTTTACCGATGAGAAGAAAGGGTCCATCAAGAAATATAAGGGAAAAAGAAAATCGACCAAGGGCAATCAAGACAATAGCGACCTTATGAAGAAGGCTCAATGAGTGAAATTAAGAGTTTCTAAATTTATTTTTAATTTTATATCTAATAGTCATTGACAAGTTTGTATATAATTGACTGATCATCTTTTGGTTTTTTTTTTTTTTTTTTTTTTTTTTT